TAAATTAGCACTCACATATAATTAAAATTACTTGAAAAAATAAAAATTCATTTCAATTTTATAAATCCCCAAATTAAAATCATGCATGTATCATTAGTGTTAAAAATAAAAATAAAATTTTTTATTTTTTTATACAAAATAGTGAAAAAAATATGTAATTTAATATTGATATTAAGTTTTTTAAGAAATAACAAATTTTAAATTATAATATTGATTGTTGTAAATTAAAATTAGAATCTTGATCAATGTAAATTAAAATTATTATCTTAATTAATTATTATATTTAACATAGAATTTAAACTTCAAAAATAAAATATTACAAAAAAACAAAAATATATACACTAAATTTAATATTTTTCAAAAGTTTAAAAACAGCTTATCAACAACTGAAAAAAATTTCATTGGTCAGAATATTTGCTAAGTAGACTATTTTAAAATAAAATTAATAATTTATAAATCATTTTAAAAAAAATTATTTCTAAATTAAAATAAAATAAATCATATAATTAATAAATTCTTTATTTAACTTAACCCAAATTGACACTAGTTGGAATCGAAGATATTAGTTCACATCAAGTTCCAAATTGAGTTTGAAATCCTTATTGAGCAAGAGCTTACAAGTACTCAAAGTCAATACTTGGTTTTGTTGACCTCCAAACTGTCCTTTTACCCAGAGTTAGCTCCACTCAACCCACATTAGGGTTTCATTTCTCTCACAAAGCAGGCGGCAAAATTCCCTGCCAATACCATTAGCTGTGTTTCCCAAGAAATAAAGATCCTTAATTTAATGTCGGGAACTCCATTTCAACTAAAGGAAAAAAGCAAAGGCTGAAACTTTGACCCAGTTTCAGAGTCCCAAAATGCGGAACCGGAAAAAGGCAGCGATCGTCTCATCAAGCAGCGACAGCAGACCCAGAGAATCAGGATGGCCGCCGGCAAACACCTGCAAATTCATGCAGCTCTCACGCGCCGCCGTCATGGACATACTTTCACGGCTACCCATTACTACCCTCATCACTTGCAGGTGCGTTTGCAAAAGATTCCTCCATTTAATTTCAGATCCTGAGTTTGCCCATCTCCATCTTACGAGATCACCCATTAGTATAATGATCAAAACCCTACCCCCCATTAATGGGTCCAAAAGACTCCAGATTGCCCAGATTGAGGACAATGGGGCAGGGTTTGGGGTCACAAAACTGGAATTTACTGCTAAAGATAGCATACCCACTTGTGAATTTAATCATATGAACTCATGCAATGGGTTGCTTTGCTTAGTTGGGCTTGAAAAAGACAACTCTGTTTATGTCTGTAATCCGATCTTAGGTGAGTACATTACTCTTGCGTCTCCCTCTAAGGGCAGGCATAGAGGGAGTTTTGGGGGGCTTGGGTATTCTGCTGTCACTGATCAATACAAAGTGTTGCAGACTTTTTACCCTTTGAATGAATCAGATCATCGTTATGTAGAGGTTGAGATTTGCACTATTGGGACCGGCGCATGGAGAAGCCTTGGGGTTGGCCCTAAAGACCTAGTTACTTTACCATTCAATTCTTTCTTGAATGGAACTCTTCATTGGTCAAATTGTTCCCCGAATGGTAGTCAGTTCATACATACTTTCAACTTTGTGACTGAGAGGTTCGGGGCTGTTTCTCCACCTGCTCGCTTCAGTGAGGAAGATAAGAAGTTTACAGATTCTTTTAGGATAGGAGTGCTGGGGGGCTGTTTGTATGCAATCTTCTTTGAGAACTCTTTGCGACTTGACATATGGATTATGAAGGAGTATGGGGTTACAGAGTCTTGGACCAAACAGTTTGCTGTGGAGAATTTGTATCCAAGGAAACATAGCTGGGATGTTTATGAGCCAGTAATTGTTTTGAACAATGGGGAAATCTTGTTGGTTTACAACAATGATAATGTGGTCTGTTATCATCCAAAGAGAAAATGCCTAAGAGGAACTACAATGTTCAGAACTCGTTCACAGTTTAATGCGATTGCATACACCCCAAGCTTAGTTTCACTCTATGTTGTTGCAAAAGGAGAGCAAATTTCAAGGTACGTGGTACAATCCTAGTATTATGTTGTATTTATTGAGAAGTTGCAGTAGTTGAAGGAAAATGATCTCTTAATGTCAAAATATGATTTTTTAGATATACAACAAGCAATAGCAAACTTCTTTCTTTCTTAGGAGGAAATACCTACATGACTGCTTTATTAATCCTATTGAGTGATAGCTGCAATTGATTGGCCTTTTTGGCCATCATGTGATTGATTAGTTGAATCATTATCTCCTTGGTTATTTGCGCTGTAGTATTACAGGCATTTGAACTGTTGGTAGCACCGTAAATTTTGCACACCATATTTTGAAGATTCAATTTACAGGAATTTTTGTGCATAACCTGCTGCTCTATTATCACTCACTGTTGTCATGGGCTTTGAGTCATTTTTATGTCTGACAGAGCTTTTGCTTGTATGTAATATGTAAAATGTAATATGATATGCAGTTTACAGATTATTGGAAAGATACTCTCAACTAAATTGGTAAGATTGTTGAGATTTGACTCTTCTTTTATACTCTGTAGAAACTAATTGGTATTGATGGTGTTCTGCAGAAGTTTCATAGGTTTTTCTTGGTAATATTGGTTTGATCTGCTGAATATAATGATAAATATACAGGACACGAGGCACTGGAAAATATGAAATGCTTGCGGCTGAACAAGTTCAAAGTTGTGCTGGCTGTGGAGCACTGCTTATCAGCTCTGGCTACAGTTTGCCACATTTCTCTGGTTACCTTGGAGCAACAAGTTATCCTGTGAGTTTCTGTTCTTCATTTTATTGTTCCATCCGCTAACCTGTTTGTCTTAGTCTAATAAAACTTTTAATGACAATTTTTCAGTCAGATTCGATTGGGAGAGAGTCAGAGTTGGTGTGTGAAGCTTGTGCCAAGCACCTATATGCACCTTCTCAGAAATCTTTCCTGTCCCTCTGGAGCATATGAGGGTTGACTTAGGCAGAAACAATCTTCTAGTTCTAGTCTAGATCAGTGCTCTATGATAATGAAAATGTTGACCGATGAAAGATCAGTTTCATCAGTCATTTTGTCCATGTATTATCGGAATCTCTACCCAGATATAGGACTTAATGTTGCCTTTCTTTCTGTGTGGAATGTAAATTTTAATGTCACTGCTCCTATGGTTCTTGTGTACTCGTTGAGACATCTTCCTCTTGTCATGGGAAAGGACAAATAATGTCTCAAGATTTCTCTCTTCTTCTTTCCCCTTCAGTGTTTAATCTTTTTCTCTCCTCTAACGATGAATAAAGAAAGAAGTGGTAAATCTAAATTCAAACCCAACTACAACATTACATGAAAGAAGAAAAGTAAGAAGTTATTCCATAGGCAAATCAATTCAACTCAATTCAAGAATTCAATTCCAATACATGAATAAATTTGCCATAAAAAACAATTTCAAATGAGCACAATGCAATCTTAACCGTATGAATTCTCACTTCCCACCATCATTTTTCCTCCTCTCATTGCATGCCTTCAAAGCTTGAACCTCTGTCAACATGAAAACAGATGAATAAATAAAATGCGTTAAAGGCAAACAACCAAGTTTTTGAATTTCGAAGTTTTCCAGAATCAATTTGGTAATAGAGAAACAAGGAAGCATACCCTTTTGGCAAGATTTCCAATTTCTGTTGGAACTAACAAGACAATCCTGCAAATTAGGGTAAAAGCCATACAGGGTTTAGGGTTTTAGAATTTTTTAAAACAAGAGAAATACGATTGCTTTCTTGTTGGATTACCTGCAAGGACAAGTAGAGAGAAGAGCATTCTCCGAGCTGCTTCACGTTGTCGTCGTCTTCGTCGGCGTCGCTCTGGTGAAGAGGTTCTTGCTGCGGCGGCGGCGGTGGTGACGGTGACCGGAGAGGAGACTGGTAGCTGGGGTTCGGGTTTGGTGACGGTTTGCCCATTTCCTTTCCCTTGTCGTCGCGTGTTGTCATTTCATTTTTCTTTTTGTGAATAAATTCCATTTTTCTCTCCCATAAAAAAAAAATTACATTTTAATGGCATTTTTAATTTTCTTTCTTTTCGACTCACTTTTTTTTCTTTCCTATATAATCAAAATCGAGGATTGCTGCAAATAATTTGTAATAATTTTTAAAAAAGAAAAGCATATGTATTTTTGTTTATAATGTGCTAAATGACTTAAATGAATATGTATCTTTGTTCATAATGTGCTAAATGACTTAAATGAATATGTTTTTTTGTTCATAATGTGCTAAATGACTCAAATAAATATCTTTTCATTTGATATTATCATAATTTATTTATAGTAATATTTTATTTAATCCCCTAACAAAAACTTTTTTTTCCTTCTATTTCTATGCATCAAATTAAGAAAGAATCTTTAAAAATTATAATTTTTATTAACAAAATTAAATTTTATTATCTTGAATATATAAAGAATATTTCAACCCAATCACAAAATACATTATTACAAAACTAAATCAATACAAGCATGACAAATATCCCAGAAGCAACGCATTAACATCTGATCTTATAATTTATATTACTATTATTTTATTCAATTCATGTTTATATATTTAAACCAATATCTTTAAAAAAAAAAAAAAAAAGACTGTCTCTTTTCATTTTACTTTTAATATAGGATCTCCACCAGAGAAATTTTATTGAGAAAAGAGACTAACAGAGATCCATTGTGATACTTTTTTTTGTTTTTTATTTTGATTGTACAATGAAAAATGATCATTTTTCATTTTTTATTTAATCTCACTCATATATTATACGACTTGAATTCAGGACTTTTTACTTTTAATAGAAAGAGATAACCACTGAATTATTTAGGTCATTAGCCATTGTAATACTCTTAAATTGCTATATAATGGTTCCCAAAAGTGCTATTAAGATTGTATGTTGCATTGGTGAAAAGTATTTTCATTTGTTTTGCAAGCATCACGATTTATTTTTTGTCCTTAGGTTCTTTTAAAGAAAAATGTAGGTCATTATAGCCACAAATATCCTACATCTTTCTTTTGTTCTTACACACACCCCATGCCTAAATGAACATGTTCTTACATATATTTCTTTTCTTCCTCAAACTTTTCATGCTCCTAAATGAACACAAATAAAACCACCCACATACCTAATTTTCCTTCAACCCAACCATGGTTGTTTCTCTCAATTACTACTCTTTTTTTTTTTTTTGAACTAGGGAATTGGGGGTAGGGGAAGGAGAATGGAAATAAGAGAAATGGAACTTTGATAATGTGAGTGAAATCTTATGCAGTGATTATTTAAGACACGTACTAGAGTTTAATTAACTCAAAAATCAAATTAAAAAATGAAAATAAAATGAAAAATAATTATATAAATTAAACTACATAACTTAAATAATTATATAAAAAAATAATCTCATGGTATTTTAAACTATCTATATATATATATCTAATCTTCTCTATCATTTTACAGTAACATTTTATAATACCATACAAAATGACTCAAAACAGAATTCTCAAATAAAATGAAAAATAATTCAAAGAAAACTTTTTTATATTATTTTTATTTATTTGAGGTCTATAATATTAAATTTATTTATTTATTTATTTAATAATTTATAAAAAATTATAAAAAAAGATTTATCTCTAATACTGCTCCAAATAAAATTTTCTCAAACCCAAAATTTTATGGTGCCAGTGAGAGACGTTCACTGCGTATAAAATACAAAGGACTCATGTACATTTTCCTGTTTTTCTCCGATGCTTTCAGACTCTCATCTTTGATTGTTTTGAAATCAATAAGCTTAAAATCGGGTATGTCCGATCATCAGAATCCGATTCTTTTTTATCACGGAATGATCTATATCAATAATCAACACTCACTGTCTCGATTGATTGTTTGATTTATTTTTTTATATATATATTTTTTCTCTCGATCTATTGGGGTTGTTTTTCTATTTCTTATTACTGCTGAAATTAAGATTGATATTATAGAATTTCTTTTCTTTTTTTTTTTTTTTGTTTTTATTGGTGGGTATGCTGTTAATATATTGACTCTACTCTGTTTTGGCTTCTGGATACTGTTTTCTTCTGATTGGTTTGTGATTCTTGGGGTTGAATTATGAGTATCGTTGGGTAACATTGATACTGATATATAAATGTGCTGGTTTTATGTGTTTCTGAATCTGAAATTTGATAATCTTTGTGAAATATTTGAATTTTAATTGTTTAGCTGTGAATGATCTAACTGAGCTTAACCCATCTCAATCTTGAATTTTTTATTTATTATGATTTTGCTATAATGGGTCAGCTCTTATTTTAGTGCTGAGAATTGATACATATAGTTAATAATGTTTGATAATTTTATTGAAAGATGTCTCTTTTATGCAGCTAAAAATGGCATCAATGGTTGCTAAGGGCAGTAGTAGTAGTCAAGTGTCTTTGATATCTGTCCAAGAGAAAGGAAGTAGGAATAAGAGGAAGTTCAGGGCTGATCCTCCTCTAGGTGACCTAAATAAGATTATACCTTCACCTCAGAGCGAGTACCCAAGTTTTGAATTTTGTGCGGAGAAATATGAACTCACCCCAGGTCACAGTCCAGCTTATGCCTGTGGCTTGTGTTGTCTTAACCAAGACCATTCTGATGGTTTAAAACGTGGCCTGGGATTATCAAGTGCTGTAGGTTCAGCAGAGGTTGGCCCAAGCCAGCCTAGAGAGGAAATAGAGGCAGATGAATTCCAGGATGCTGATTGGAGTGATTTCACTGAAGCTCAACTGGAAGAACTTGTTTTAAGCAGTTTGGATGCAATTTTTAAAAGTGCAATAAAAAAGATAGTCACTTGTGGTTACACTGAAGAAGTTGCCACAAGGGCTGTCTTAAGGCCTGGCCTCTGTTATGGTTGTAAAGACACTGTTTCAAATATTGTGGATAAAACTCTAGCATTTCTTAGAAGTGGCCAAGATATCAATCCCTCAAGGGAGCAATGTTTTGAGGATCTACAGCAGCTGGAAAAGTATATGCTGGCTGAACTTGTTTGTGTTCTTCAAGAGTTTCAGCCTTTCTTCAGCACTGGGGATGCAATGTGGTGCTTGTTGATTTGTGACATGAATGTATCACTTGCTTGTACAGTGGATGTTGATCCATTGAGTGGGTTTGTTGGTGATGGGGCTTCAAATGGGAGTTCCTCTCCATCTAGCCAACCCCATTTGAAAAAGGAAGCCAAAAGTTCTGAGATGAATCTTGCAAGTCCTTGGAAACCTATTCCTCAAATTCCTTGTTCTCATGGTTCTCAGTTGGAAGCACCAACAACAGAAGAAGTCAATAACATGGCAAAATCTAAGAATTCCCTTGTTTTTGGTGGTCTAGCATCTGAGAAAGAGGACACAAAACCCACCTTTGATACTAATAATAAAACTTCTAGTGCGGCAGGAACACCTCAGTCTCTGGCCTTGGAAGAAAAGTTTGTCTGTGGCAGACAAGTTCATTCTACCAAGAGAGAACACATTCTTCGGCAGAAGTCACTTCATTTGGAAAAAAACTGTAGGACATATGGATCTAAAGTTTCATCCAGAGCTAAATTGAGTGGTCTTGGAGGTTTAATCTTGGACAAAAAACTAAAATCTGTATCTGAGTCTAGTGCAGTTAATATAAAGAATGCTTCCTTGAAGATTAGTAAGGCAATGGGAGCTGAAGTACCTCAAGATAATGGGAATCACAATCATGCAGTCAATCCTGGACCCCCATCGCTTGCAGCATTTAGTGTAGATGGT